AGATGGGGCCATATTTTCCTCGCGCTTGCCCCCCCCCCCCGGTCGACAGACAGCTTGATGGTATCAGATGAGGGAGCAGGGGAGGCGTGTCAAGCCACCTTTCAGGGGGGGGGTCGTACGGGACTCGACCAAATCAACCAACTAATGACGTGCTTTGTCTCCTTCCCCTCCTCCATTCGACGGGAGATCTTTTCGGAGAGAAAGCAAGAGAATTTCTCTGGAGAAACCGGGAGAAAGGGTGAGAGTTGTGAGAATTTCGAAAGATGGTAGGTGCGATGGGAAAGAAGGGAAATTTTGATGGGATGTATTTTGGAAAAATTTTTCCATAATAACGACTAATTTTCTAGTCGCCATGGCGCGCCCCATTCAGGGGTTTTGATTTCATAGTTTCAACCTGTTTTTTTATCGGGGACAACCCGATCTATCAGTTAACTCCAAGGCGGAATTATAATAACCTATGAAATAGGCGTGGTTATGCGTCAAATAGATAAAAAAGCAAAAAAAGAATGCAATGAATCACGTCGTTCTCCATTTCGCTCAATTGCGTTTTCGGTATTCAATCCACCTTCGAAATTCGGTTGTTTGAGAGAGGGTGGGGTAGCAGCGGATTCCATTAATATTCCTAATTTTTTTTTCTCTAAGGATCACAGCCAATATAGCTCGCAATAAACTATACCTATAAAGCTGAAAAGAAAGGGTAGAGCTAATTTGTCAATTCCGATATTATTTTTTGACGCTAATATCTTTGAATGGTGGGGGGCACCCCTGTAAGCGCCTGTCAGCATATGAAACCCTGTACGTGTGAATACGAGACAAACTTGTCAAGACCCTTTAAGCTTTGTTATCACCTGTCAAGCATCTTGTAAATTCCTGTCAAACTTGTCAAAGTGCTGGTCAAGTTTCGGAAAAACCAATGGAGAAATGGTGTTTCAATGATGTTGGTACCATTTCGCCAAGCTTGACAAGGAGTTTACAGGGTACTGACAAGAGCTTACAGACGGCGTAAACGTGAGGAAGAGACTATGAAAAAGAAGAAACATACGCTAAGAAAGCGCACTACTAAAAACCTTGGCAGTTGGCGGCATCCCCTAGTCTAACGAGGCTAAATCTTTGAAAAAAAAACCTGAAAAACGGTAAATGAGGGAATCGTGATAATGTCGTGAAAGACCAAAGGAGAAAATTACGGAGTTAAGGAAAATCAGTAAAGGGCTAACGGAACGCCATCGTCAAATCCCAATGATTCATTACCTTTTGGGAGGTGTGCATGAGCTCTAAGGAACACCTCTCGAGGTACGCGTGAATAATGACTGCAGTGCCTGCGCAATGTACATTCTAGCAACAGGGCATATACGTTGAGGATCAGCCCGCAGCGAGGGGGAAGTCATATTGCTTTAAGAAAGGTTGCTCGTGGGGAATATTTAAAACAGCGGTCTATCTTCGTTTACGCAAAAATATGGCGCCATAATGTCTGCCCGTTCCCGCCTGGACGGATTGGTTTCTCGAGCGAAAAAACTGGAAATTACGGAAAAGTAGAAAAGAAAGTTGCGAAAGCAATATGAGATTGTAGCGTAGACGATGGGAGCGGAAAAGGATGGGGGTATAATGTAGCAGCAGAGAAATGACGAATTTTCGAGGAAAGGGGGTTTGGGTCGTACTGCTAACTAAGTAATTTCCGCCGACCGAAGAAAAAAGCGCTCGTGATTGTGTTAACGAGTGGCTTACAGCATCACCATCACGCAGGGCACATCATTTTTTTCGACTTTGGTCGAATCCGTACCACCTCCCCCCTGATTCCCCCTTCCGATCGAGCTGTCGAGCGGGGGTGGGGGAAAGTGAATAGCATATGTGAGATAGGGAAAACCGCGAAGAAAATACGATGCCTCTCTACATTTCTTCCACTTCTTGGACTTTCCCCAACTTCCTACCACTTTTCCCCGAAGTTCCCGGAAACTTTCCTTCTTTTTCCCCCGAACAATTTCGCTGTCGAGCTGGGGAGTATAGTCCAAACGAAACGGGGGACCACGAAGTCAGTTAGCAACCTATCTCAGAAGTTAGAAGGAAATACGACCCCCTCTCTCCTAGCAGCGACCAAATACGACCCACCCCCACTTTTCGGGGGAATCCCCAACAACGATATGCCCTGTTCTTCTGTATACGGTGATGGCAGTGCACTTACCAGGGTTGGTGTGAGATTCGAGCAGGGCAAGCCCTGGCTGAGACTAATAATTTACCCACAACTTAGCGCTAGTAGAATAGAGCCGAACTATGTGTTTACTTTTGAAGGGTCCTAGCATTTACAAGATTAATACAAATTCAGGTGTAACGACGGCTTCTCCCTACAGGATCAAATCGTGAACTCATCCGGACAAGTGTGGCATTCAGAATGCTTTGTGTTAGTTGTTTTTCCCTTCTTTTTGAAACTTTTACACTCCGCACTTTTTCACTCGCCTTTAAAAACAACATGAGAAATTTTCCTTGTTGTAATCGCAGAAATACGAAGATTACAATGCCGAGGGTTTGATTTATGGATGCTATTACGTTAGATGACGGCAATATTTCAGGCACGGAAAAACATTGCTATGTTGCTATCGTTGTGATTTTTTTCCTGCGAAAAATTCATAATAAGAGAGACTGCTGTTGCTACTGCAACAAAATCAAAAAATGGCAAAAACTCGATTGCGACTCACAGACATTATTCGTTCCCCTGATTATGACACGCAGTTCTCGACGTGCGCCAAGAGGGCTCTTTTTAGCGCTTTCACCTTTTCTTCACCAGTTATCGGTCGAAATCTGACTTAAAGGAATTTTTGAGCGCTCGTGACGCTTCCACACGGCTTCGTTTGACGTCACCGGCGCCATGTAACCTGTCAAGTGTTTTCGCCTTAAAAAATCGGACGTAAATTCGCATACTATGGTAAATTGGGGTCCTGAACAGGCGTATAAATTTTATAATCTAGCGCTAGAATAGACAGTGCCTGCGCCATCTTGACGCCGTTTTCCATCCATGGAGTTTCGTTGTTTGATACTGACAGTAAATTGCTGCTCCTCTCCGTGACACATTAGGTTGTTGCATCGGCACCGTTTGCGGCTGTGCTAAGGCTGCTTGAGATGATCCATTTACCTCAAGCTCCGCCTTACCTTAGCCGGGCGAAAACGCTTAGAGTCCCTGGGTAAGCTGCGGCGCCATCCGTAACGCAGCGGCAGTTTTTTGCATCAAAAAAAAGAAGGTCGGTGTCCGAAAACCCCCCCCCCCCCCCCTCCAAGGGTCGTACTCGCATGTCAGCGCGAAATGAAATAAGTTTGAATGAGTAGATTAATTTTTATGGAAAAAGGTGATGGTGTCAGGTTCGCGCCTATTGGCGCGAAATGGTTGAAAGCGAAAGTTGCTTCCGCGATCTGAACACCGATTAACCACTGTGAAAATCAACAAGTGCGCTTGGCACTATTTGCTGGGGAGGGGCACTTTTTACTTCCCGTATTTCTTTTACTCGTTCGTATTAAGTACACGCCTTATTTTGCTAACAGCTGTGATCGATGGGAAACCAGCAAAGGGCGCAGTTCGGCGACGGGGGGCATTTTGCACTTTTGCTGCTTCATTGGTTCCTGTTCGCATGTTTCACTCTGGTGAAACATGTGGACACTTGTGAAGCCGGAGCAAGCTCGTCGAGCCATTATGGTAAAACCCGTCAACTCGAAAAGGCTCTCTAAAGAAGGTCGCCAAGTCGGAGGGCAAGCAGAAGTGTAGAACTGCCCCCCCCCGTGGCTGAACTGCCCCCCCCCCTCCCTCCCCCCCCAGCAAGGTGCCCTCACCAAGCCGAACTACACGATTTTTTTCAAGATTTCGGGGTCAGCAGCAGCAGTTGAATAGCGTTAGGGTTTCTCAAGGTCGGTTTTGGACTGACAGTTTATACTTTCCAGATGTGCACAATGTTTCGAACCATTCCCCGATGGTATATATTTCGAATTCGAAGGCAGAAAGTACTGTGAACACGACTTTCATGTACTGTACGCTCCTTGCTGCGGAAAATGCAGTAAGTCGGTCTCTAGGAAATTTCTCTGCATCCTCCAACCACTGAGTCATTCTTGGTCTTTTCAGATGAGTTCATTATTGGTCGCGTGATCAAGGCTATGAATGCCAGTTGGCATCCAGATTGTTTCCGTTGTGAACTCTGCTCGAAAGCACTAGCCGATATCGGTTTTCTAAGAAATGCTGGAAGGTTAGTGGAGTTTTTGTGGGAATATATGCTTCAAAACTTTTCCCATCTAATGCGTAGCTATGTGATCATTTTGCTGCAGGCCATCTTAACAGGGCCAAAACAGGGCTGAGCTTGCGTAGACAATTTTCGATGGGAGGTCATACTTGGCCGCATGGGAAAATCTTGTTTGGACGGGGACAACATTTTTTGATTGCTGATTTTTTACGCTGTGTAGTCTATTTAGTGGCAAGTGGCACGCGCACCACGCGCCTGTTGCGGGGGTCGAATCCCAAATCGGCTCTCGCTCAGGTCTTCCAAACCTTCTACCGTCCAGGGGCGGTGAATTGGTGCTAGATTCGTCTGGGAGCATAAGGACACTGAGTTGTATATCGGCTGCCTCCGCAATTCATTGTAGGCCACATCCCATTCAATAAGTCACTGCGAAACAGAGGATACGAGGACAGGAAGACGATAGAGAAACTACATGTCGGTCCTTCAGAATGAACGCCGCGCGCCAATTGCATTTATATAGGACCGTTGGCATAGCTTGTCGTCGGAGGGGTCAGGCAACTTCTACGGGCGGCGTTCTTTCGGCTTTGACGATCATTCACTGTCGAGGTTGAGCTCCAAAGTGGGACAACCGCGAAGAATATTGTGTGGAATGTCTGAACAAGAAAGTGACTGTACCTTCGTGATCATGGAGGTGGTGTAGTGGCAAGCGGCATGCTTACGAGATACACGATCCCGGGGTCAACTCCTGGACCGGCTCGCACAAAAACCCAAACCTTCTTTCCTTCGGGTACGGTAAATTGCTACCAGATTTCGTATGGGAGGA